TTTTTCAGTGATATCAAATAGTTTTCTAATTCAAATTTATTTTTAAATTTTCTGTATGTTCTCAATTTATTACCCTCTTGATCATTATTCAATTCTTCTTTCCAGTACTGTTTAAATTGTTTTTCCAACTGTATTTGTAAATTGTTGTTATTCTGTCCAAATTAATTTTGTCACTTTTATTGATGTTGTTTAATTGTGTCGTTATTGCGATATACCATTTACTATTCATTTGCTTGTTTAGTATTGCTGCTTCTTTAATTAGTACGTTAGACGAGTTTATTGCGCGGTTGTAGTATTTGATCATTTGTTTTTGTATAAATAAATGTAGCGGATATTCACCCAGTTCTCCGTATATTGCCATTATGGAAGTGTTTCTCTTGATACTGAGAATAAATCTGCAGAAATGTAAATGGATATCTTCAACTTCCGATATATAAAAACTCTCATGGCCCCATATATCACTGCCATATGTCAGAATAGGTCTTACGAGCCTATGGAATAGGGACATCAATGTTTTTATATTTATATTAGAATTTTGTCCTAGTTTCCCTATTAAAGAAAACATGGCCTTTTGACCTTTACGTTAAAGTTTTTTATGGCTTCTTTGAATTTCCCATTTGGGCTTAATTGATTTTTTTAACAATATCAATTTCTTTGCTTTCATAGAAAAATATGTTATCTTCTAATAGTCTGTTCGATTTGTTGAAAACCATAATTTTAGTTTTTTCTGTGTTGAGTGATAGTCTCCATTGTTTTGTGTAGGTGGATAAGTTATCTAAACAATTTTGTAAGCCAAATAAAGATCTGAGAAGCTATGAATTTTTATAATTTTTACTGTGTAAATTTGTAAATTATTATTGATCTTGTATGACGGTTGATTCGTAATTTGTGTAGACCGGAAATCATTTTACGCAGTTTAACCCCTGACATTTTAATTCATTTTAAATTCACGCGTATTGGGCGTGTTTGTCGGCGAGAAATCCTAATTCAAATGATTTCTCACTGTCGATTTTTATTATTTCTGGTTTAGTTGTCACATTATAAGCAATACATTATTTTTGTTTTACTTCTAGTGTTGCATAGTGTTCATGTATTTCCGTTGCATGTTTTCATTTGCCGTTCTATTCCCTGTCGCAGTTCGATCTACATGTTGTCAATTTTTGTGAATTTTCGTTTTTTTTGCCGGGGCTTATACCCGGATAAATACGGTAATAGATCACTGCCTTACTTTCATTTCTTCCTACCTTACCTTCATTTCTCTCTACCTTTCTTCCAGTTCTCACTGCCTTTCTTCCAGTTCTCACTGCCTTTCTTCCAGTTCTCACTGCCTTTCTTCCAGTTCTCACTGCCCTACTGCCATTTCTCACAGTACTTCAATTCCCACTGCCTTTCTTCCAGTTCTTACTACCTTTCTTCCAGTTCTTACTACCTTTCTTCCAGTTCTCACTGCCTTTCTTCCAGTTTTCACTTCCATACTTCCAGTTCTTACTGCCTTTCTTCCAGTTCTTACTGCCTTTCTTCCAGTTCTTACTGCCTTTCTTCCAGTTCTTACTGCCTTTCTTCCAGTTCTCACTGCCTTTCTTCCAGTTCTCGCTGCCTTTCTTCCAGTTCTCACTGCCTTTCTTCCAGTTCCCACTACCTTACTTCCAGTTCCCACTACCTTACTTCCATTTCCCACTGCCGTACTTTCATTTCCCACTGCCTTACTTCCAGTTCCCACTGCCTTACTCCCAGTTCCCACTGCCCTACTTCCAGTTCCCACTGCCTTACTTCCAGTTCCCACTGCCTTACTTCCAGTTCCCACTGCCTTACTTCCAGTTCCCACTGCCTTACTTCCAGTTCCCACTGCCTTACTTCCAGTTCCCACTGCCTTACTTCCAGTTCCCACTGCCTTACTTCCAGTTCCCACTGCCTTACTTCCAGTTCCCACTGCCTTACTTCCAGTTCCCACTGCCTTACTTCCAGTTCCCACTGCCTTACTTCCAGTTCCCACTGCCTTACTTCCAGTTCCCACTGCCTTACTTCC